GTTGCCTTAAGCTAACTTTACTCGACAAAAACCAAATTTGTCACAAAAAGTTGTCGCAATATCTACCCCGGGAATTTCCTTATGTCCCGCCATATGGCGGGAAAGGGTATGGCGACAAATTACAACTAATTGCAATATAGTGACAAATATAGCTTTATCACAATTGGTGGCATTTTAGCGGCAAAATTGTCGTCGCTACAAACAACCTTCTAGTGACAAATGATGCATTGTCGCAAAAGGTTGAGTTATTGTGACAAATATAGCTTTATCACAATTGGTGGCATTTTAGTGACAAAAATTGTTGTCGCTACAAACAACATTCTAGTGACAAATGAAGCTTTGTTGCAAAAGGTTGAGTTATTGTGACACACAATTGGTGGCATTTTAGCGACAAAATTATTGTCTCTACAAACAACTTTCTAGTGACAAATGATGCATTGTCACAAAAGGTTGAGTTATTGTGACAAATATAGCTTTGTCACAATTGGTGTCATTTTAACGACAAAAATTGTTGTCGCTACAAACAACCTTCTAGTGACAAATAATGCTTTGTCGCAAAAGGTTGAGTTATTGTGACAAATATAGCTTTGTCACATTTGGTGGCATTTTAGCGACAAAAATTGTCATCGCTACAAACAACCTTCTAGTGAGAAATGATGCTTTGTCGCAAAAGGTTAAGTTATTGTGAAAAAATTTAGCTTTGTCACAATTGGTGGTATTTTAGCGACAAAAATTGTTATCGCTACAAACAACCTTCCAGTGACAAATGATGCTTTATCGCAAAAGGTTAAGTTGTTGTGACAAATATAGCTTTGTCACAATTGGTAATATTTTAGTGACAAAAATTGTTGTCGCTACAAACAACGTTCTAGTGACAAATGATACTTTGCCACAAAAAGTTGAGTTATTGTGACAAATATAGCTTTGTCATAATTGGTGGCATTTTAGCGACAAAAATTGTTGTCGCTACAAACAACCTTCTAGTGACAAGTGATGCTTTGTCGCAAAAGGTTGAGTTATTGTGACAAATATAGCTTTGTCACAATTTGTGGCATTTTAGCGACAAAAATTGTTGTCGCTACAAATAACCTTCTAGTGACAAATGATGCATTGTCACAAAAGGTTAAGTTATTGTGACAAATATAGCTTTGTCACAATTGATAGCATTTTAACGACAAAAATTGTTGTTGTTATAAACAACCTTCTAATGACAAATGATGTCACAAAAGGTTAAGTTATTGTGACAAATATAGCTTTGTCACAATTAATAGACTTTTTGTGACAAATTATTTGTCGCCAATTTCTATCTTTTAATGACAAAAGATATTTTGTCACAAAAGAGTAAATTTTGTCACAAATTAGCCTTCTGTCACCATATACTTGTCTGAGAAATAATAAGAAAAATTAAAATTTATTATAAGGTATGTTTTTAATAAATAAAAGTATGTGTATATATATAAATATATGGTAAAGTGCAAAAAACTCTCTGAACTATGCTTGAATTTTTAAATAACCCCCTTGAATTATATTTTATGCCTAATATCACCTATTGCCAAAAATACTCCATTGTTCTAATAATAAGTTAATCATTTTATAAAATGGTAGTTATAATTTTTTTTTTAATGATAAATTAATTCTAATAATAAATTTAAGGGGTAATTTGTATAATTCATATTTAAATTTAAATAAGAGAATATATAAATATAAAGGATTTATTAATTGGGATTAATTATTTTTATTTTATTTTTAAAATGAATTATTTTATTTTATTGAGTGCTTAGATTAATTATCTTATTTTAATTAGATTATATTTCGTTAATATATTTATTGAATTGATATGATGTTTTGCTTTGTGGAATGTTATGATTAAATTGTCTTTTTGATTTGTGTGTATTTATGTTTACGTGAATTGTTTGTTAAGTATTTGTAATTATCACATTTAATTTAATTATTTTATTTTAATTGGATTAGGGTTAAAAGGAATGTGACTAATGGATGTGGTCTTGAGTTTAAAAGAAGCCTTGTTGGGTTAATTAATAAGGGCCCATGGTTATAAAGATATTTAATTAATTATCTTTGCATAATTATATATATATATATATAATTATATGTATATAAATATAATTAATTAATTATTATTATGGAAGGAAATATATATATGTGTGTGTGTGTATGTGTGTGTGTGTGTGTGTGTATAATTTATTTAGTAAAGGATTATCATGAAAGGAAATATACACATATATTATAATATATATATTATTTAAGATAATTAGTATTTCTTTTATTTGGTAGTCCTAGGAGGAATATGAGTTGGATTTTAATGTGTATAAATATACACATAAGGTTTTAAGGTTAAAAGTTTACACGAATAAGAGAGGTAATGAGAGAAAAAGAGAAGGCTAATAAGGAGGAGGCCGGATCTAAGAAAGAAGACGTCAAATTTGGAAGAGACAATCAAAACTTGAAGCATCGGTTTCGTTTCGAAACCTTCAGGCAAATTCTTTTCTAACTCTGTTCTTATAACTCATAAGAATTTCACCTTGAGTTTCAGTGTTTAGATTAATTTTATTTGATTAAATCAGAATTAAATCAGAGTATTAAAAACATGTTTTATTATTATTTTTATTTTTGGAATTGTTGAATTTTAATTATATATATAGGTTGTATATATTTAAAATCAACTATATGCTTGATCTAGAACCCAAGAGGATTATTTAGGGTTTAAGAATTTTTAGGAATTGATCTAGTGCGGCGCAGCATAGGTAATAGTGTGAACACGCAGATCTTGACCCTTATATGGTGATGATGAGGGATGGATGATTCACTATGGTGCAGTGTATGGGATTTTGGTGTTCATGGTCATCTGGACCATGGAAGTGGTCTGGTCAATAAGGAATTGATCTGGTGTAGCGCAGACTATAGAGAGTGGTGCACAATCAGATATGGATCGTTAACTTGTTCTGGTCAGCAAATAAATTATTTGGTGTGGTCAAGCTCATAGTAGCGATTGAGCTCAACCTATTATTTTTTACTATTTTGTTACTCAAAATTTAAACGGTCAAAACTCAGTCATCTTAAATCGGAATTGGGTTATTCTTGAGCTCAAATTTAAGGATTTTTCGTCCTCTTTTCAATGTTATCAATTTCATTCTCAGATTTCTATCGTACTAAGAGATATTTACATTTTAGTGAGATGGTGTTAGAAAATTATTTAAACTAATATGGAGTATTTTTGGGAAACCATTTATGACGATATTTAGTAATATTTAATTTGCGTAAATATCATTAATTAGTAGTTTGGTGATGGAAGGAGTTATATATATATACTTAATTATAGATGTGTATATATGATTTAATTAATTTATATTTAGGATGGAAGGAAATATATGTATATATATATATAAATTCATTAATATATATGTATATATGATTTTAAATAATCAATGATTATTATTGAAGATATTATACACATATATATTGTATAATATATGGGTATATGTATACTTGACCCACTTTATTTTTATCTTTCAGGTTACTAAAGGTCTAAGTCTCAAGGTTGAGGATCCGCAGTTGGAGGACTTTTCTATTCTTTCAATTTATTTCAAAGTAGGATATTATTTCTTTATTTGACATTAGTATTTATTTCTGAAATTCTAAATAGTGACTTTTGGTTAAGGGGTCATTGAGTTACGGGATTCCCGAGTTGTAACCATTTTAGAGTTATTAATGGATTTATTATTTATTAGTTTTCTTCAGCATATTATTTATTTCATTTTGTAATCTGTGCTTGTTTAAATACTTTAATTGTTTTGATATCCCTTAATTTTGTGCGCGGATTTGATCAACCCGTGTTCTGAAATTAAGGGGTATCACAATAAATAACCCTTGTTACATTTTTCCCTACCCAAACTTGCAACATCTTCATTGCAACTCGAGCCACCCTACCTACTTGGGTGCAGGTAGAGTAACCGCCCTTAATGGATCATTATCATCATCATTAGCCATGTTTGGATTATAAGATTCTCCTAATTTTTAGAATATTAACACACATATAGATAGATTGACTTTCCATTTTTTTTCCTAGTTGATACTCACACACACATATGACTTGAACCCCTGACTTCCCTTCGGGAGATAAAAGACTGATATCGCTAGGCCACTGGCTCGTTGGTGACTTTCCATTTCAGACATCCGCCATTCCTGATCTTTCACTTGATCAATTTGTAACTTATTTTCTGTTAATTTTTTATAAATTACATCAACTAGACATTTATATGAAATGGTTTTTGATATTGACAAGACAAAATTATTTTTAGAGTTACAAGTCTTAAGAGAAACTTTACTGAGAGGAAAAAAAAAAAAAAAAAGGCAATTAAAGTATTTAATTTTATAAAAGGTTAAGTAATTATTTTCTTAATACTTGGATTGCATATAGAGTATTATTGACTATCCCAATTACAGTTGCATCTGCTAGGAGAAGTTTTCAAAGTTAAAGTTGATCAAATCTTACCTGCAATTAATGATGTCATAAAAGAGATTAAATGGATTGACTATGATATATATTGAAAAATATATGTTGAAGAAATTTAATTGGAATACTTTAATTGATAATTTTGTAATTCAAAATGTAAGACAGTCACATTTACTTTGATATGAAGTTGAATTTTGATTTTTCTGACTAAGTTGTTTTGAACATTTCTTTTAATTATTTTAATATAAATTGGATCGTGTTTTTTATAAAATACCAAGATCGGGTTTTGTTTTGTGTGTTTTCAATATTAATATATTTTATGTCTTTATTGTCTTATTTTAATAAAAATTTCGCATTCTGTGAAAAAATTTACCCCTCCATAGGTGGGAATTATTCCCGCTAGTAATTGATGAAAATAAAAAAAAAATCTTTCAGTAACACAAGGTAGAAAGTGAAAATTTTCCCCCCTCCACAGGCGGGAATTATTCCCGCTAGTAATTGACGAAAATAAACAAAATAATAATAAAAGATTAAGTAAAGCAGACACAACTTCACACAAACACGAACACTTTCCCTCTTTGATAAGCTTTAACACAAAAAAATCTTCTTGTGTACATCTCGCTGCAAACGGCCAGGCTTTCCATCATCGTCTCTGTCTCCAGTCACCATCGTCGTCTCTATCTCCAGATAACATTGTCGTCTCTGTCTTCGGTCACCATAGAAGGGACCCCAAGCCCTAAATGATAACACACGGCTTATAAACGAAACCCTAAATCCAGAGACAAAAATTCCTATAAAGAAGCGATCCTTTGTCTGATCGGTAAGCAAAGCTTAACTTTTCTCTTTTCAATTCCTTCTTCTTGCTTCCTTTTTCACACATATATTAGCACACACTAAAACACACATAGTCGCACACACTGAAACACACATATTCGTACACACATATATGTATATGTATGTGTGTAAATAGATTGAACGAATTAACATTACTTTGTTTACATCTACCATATACAAAACCAATGTTGTTCTCAATCAGGTCATTTCACAAGTTCTTGTTTTACATTGCACCAATTATATATATACACACACACATATATGTATAACTAGAACGTTGGTTTGGTTTTCACTGTCCGTGTTCTCAGATTGATTTGCTTGAGAATCTGGCAATTGATGATGTTGTTGTGTTATCGATTGTGCTGCAAGAGGTCAAGAACAAGAATCTTTCAGTTTATAACAGAGTTAAAGCCTTGTGCAGCAATTCTATGAGGAAGTTCTTTGTTTCCTCTAACGAACATCACAGGTGAGTCATCTCTTAATTTTCATCATTTTCATCACGATGTTTGAATTCTTTCAATTTCTTTTCAACAATTTAAGGAAGCAATGGTCCTGTAGGTAGTCTTGTTATATTTAAGACAAGTCAAAAGATAGTTTGGATCCAAAAATGAAGATACACATGGAAGTTCTTTTATAATTTTAATTAAAAAAAATTTCAACAGGTAATTTTAATAATGTTGTTTTTATACAATACGTCCGTATTTAGAATACTATGTAAACTGGATGTTTTTTTCAACGTGCTTTTGCTTTTGATGGCTAGTTTACCACTGGCAATATGCTCTTGGCTTGATTCATTTATATATGCACCCCTCCAATCTGATTGCATTTTATAAACAATGCTAGTGTAATGATGTCTTAAAAGCTACTTTTAAATGGTGTTCAGTTGTTTTATCCAAAAATGGGGAGCATATGGTGTCTTATTTCACTTTGCGTGTGTTTACATTGTCTTGTAATTGTAATCATATATGGGGATGTCTTACAACATGGTGGGAGTATAACAGGAATACTATATATATTGAAAGTATGAACCATTTTTTTAAGCACACTTTACTGTAATTGTGGTACTTATTCCTGTTTTTAGTGTAAGAACATGCAATTGTAGATTTCCTTCTTCTGACATTGATGAATTGGAAGTTCAGCAATTCGAGTGACAACTCAGTGGTATCGTAACCATCTTGGTGGTGCAACATGGGTCTTATTAATCACAAATGACAGAGAAAATAAGAGGAAAGCCACTGAAGAGGGAATTTCTACAGAGACAGGTACATAAAAACATGTGATTTGTTTTTTCCTTGTCTTTCCATTCATGCACTTCTTTAATGGGTTTGAAATTTTACCTAAAAAAAAAAGGGTCTGATTTGTTAAATTCCAGCAATGTTTGTTCTGTTGCTGTTGTTGTGGCTTTTACTACTTATGCCACTACTAATAATTTTTTTTGGGATTTAAGGAGGGTTTACCCCTACTTTAATGAGAATGATACCCAAACCAGACAAAACTATACAAACTAGAATCTAAACTATCAAAACTAAGATCAACCTCTCCATCCCTAGCACCATAGCAGGTTGACCTCTTAATATTTTCTAGGAAGTTATAATCCACTAAAGCTTAGAAATATAATTTCTATACATGATCAGATATCTTGAATCTTCTTTATTCATCTAGAAAGTTAATTACCAAAATCGACAGCTTAATTTTTTTAAAAAAAAGATTTCCACTGCTGGACCCTTGCATCCGATGAAACCAAAAAATGAACAATTGAAAAAATCTATTTAAAGACAATAGGCAAATCAACAAAGGGAATGAGGACATTATCTAGAATTAACCCCGCCAATGCAAGGTGCTGGTAGGGATAGGCTATGTATGGACCAAAAGTTTGCCATTGCTTGCATAAAGTGATTGCTCTTGCTTGCAAACTTGTGGTTCTGCCTACTTTGCAGAGCAACAACATAAATAGAAAATAAGCAACAACTATATATATATTTTTCAATTGAATATTTTTTCAATCATATATATTGCACACAATCATCTCTCTATTTCTAGGAAAGGAAAGTCTTGTTGGTGTTTGTTGGTCCAATTAGAATAGAAGTGATAGACTTGGTTTTTGATTTTTTTTAATGATTGTATACATAAAAGTATCAAGTACTGCTAAAACCTCATCTGTACCAAAAGAAAAGAATTGTGTGGTAATTATTTAACTTACAACATATGTGTGACAATACTACACTAGAAAACCTACTTAGGTTTGCATGGGATGAGAGAAAAGCACTGGGCCACATCACAGATCGATCTGGTTTGTGGCTCTAACAACCTAGTAATATAAAAAGTTACAAACTCATACGTTAGAGCAAAAATCAACATTAGCATTACACTAATTTATTTTTAGGATGAATTGCATTAAACTCCGTGTAGACTCATAGCGTTTTGTAATAAATTTGTTTTTATTTTAATTTTTTTGTTGTCGAAAAATTCCATCTAAGTAAGTGTTTTATTTTACTAAAATACTTTTACCAAGTCGAGAGTGTTTTATGCAATGTAGGGGATATTTTTAACAACAAATCAAAAAACAACCCCTTTAGTAGGAAAAAAAAAATTAAAAGGAAGATTGTCTACAAAACCTACAAGTTAAGGGAATTTTGGATCTCTTTTTATTATCTGTCATATTATCTCGTATTTTTTAACTTTTGAAAGTAATTTCTAATAACTTCATTCGTGCACCATCATCTGTTTTATTTTTATCTTCTAATTTTTGAATTCAACTACAAAAGATACCATATATTAAACTAAAGAGATATTTGAATTGTGGAAAGCATGGGCCATCACCCACCCTCTGTTGTCCTCTTTTTCAATTATCATAAACTTTGGTGGAAGTAGATGTTTCCTCGTTTTTCAGCTTTATGCTTATCCTGACCCACTTTCTAGGGTTCTAACATCTCTCTCTATGTATGTATATATATATACACACACACACACACTTTACTCAAAATTTTTAAAATCAAATACTTTGTGGCATAGTGATATCTTATTCCATAGTGAGAAATTGGGTGGTAAGAAGTTTCCTCAATGCAGCCATAAGATAACAGTTTTATAGAGTGTAAAATTATGATACTTTTTATTTTTTGTGAATTATAGTGTAAAATTATGTTACTTTTTGTAAATTATAGAGAGAATGAGAATGCTTTATGATTGCACATTTTTAATGTTTTTTACTCATGCTTGAGGGGGTCACGTGCCTTCAAGTGATCAATTTTGCGGTGTATAGGGGGTCACGTTCCTTAAGTGATCATTTTTTTATTTATTTTTTATTTTTTTTATTATTGTGCATAAATGGATCAAAGGTCGGGATATTGTTGTGGATGGAGTTTGGTTTTCATTAATCGCATTTTAAGTTTGGTTTACATTCATGATCAATGTTTATTTTAGAATAAGTAACTCATCTACAACCTCATTGTGTATAAGAACTTTTGGTTAAATGAGTTGGTATTTACCCAAATATCATCAATGAAATAGATTGAGTTGGGTCTATATTCAGGATTGTGTCGTTCTCATTTTCCAGATTGTTTCACTCTTTTCCTTTTATTTTTCTCTCTCTTTACATTTAGCCAACCCACACAGGCCCTCTAAATGTTTGCACTAAACTATATTTTAAAAATTATTTAATTCCTTATCCATAATTTTGTATGTTGAACCAATTGATATTCGAAAAGTATTGTGCGAAAACTGGATTATCAACTTTGACATTATCACAAGGTCCTTACATTAATTTGCAGAAGGTTTCAAGTATATAATCATAGACCTTTATTTTCTCCTTTCTGCTTAAAATATTTTGTAAGATGTTGTACATTGACGTGGGTTCCAAGATATGAGTACGATGCATAAACAAGAATATGCTAATAACTAAGAATACCGAACAAAAGAATATGATTTATATTTTGGAATGCTAATAGTGAGTATTTTAATCATTTTAATTAAGAGATGTCAATAACTAAGCTATATTTGATAACCCTGTCTAGATAGAAAAGAAATGATATATTTTATAGAGCAAGAAAGTGTTGGGTATTGTCCTCTGAATCAAAGGATTGGGTATTACCCTCCAGATCAAAGGGTATTTTATAGAGCATTGATTTTGTAATGGTATCGCAGTATATATATATATATATACACATATACATATGTGATTTATAGTGTATACACAAGATATAGTTGTACCAATGATGATTTATTTTTTATAAATTCAATGTAGGAAAGTTAAAATAATAATGTTATAAAAAATGATGTAATAATTTGACTTTTATTTTAAAATAGTTAAAAAATAAAAAGTATATATATATATTTGTTGAGACGAGGAGTAAAATCTCATTTTCATCAAGTTGATCAATCTAATAATTTTAAATTCAACTAAACCACTCAAATGACTTGTAGACTTAATAGTCTAAAATCATTAATTATACAAATTTGTTTGGAATTTATATATGTTTTTTTTTTTTTTTCCTAGACCTTAAGTCTCATTTAAATAGTAAGTTTTTGCTATGTATATATATATTCTACCTGTACATGAGGCTTAAATTAGTACTTAACAAAGCTTACTTTTTATGCATGTCATTAATTACAGGTTATAAAAATTCTATTTTCTTGTAGTGTATTCTCACCAGGATATCAAGTTCTCTAAAATAATCTTTAAAATTTTATTTCGGTCTTCAAATTCTAATCTAATCTTTTTCTTCTTCTTCTTCTTCTTTTTTTTTTTTTTTTGCAAGTTTGACATTGATTGCAATCTAGCTCCCCTTTTTTATTCAGATTTCTTTTGGGATTTTGATATGTCTATGCGATTAGCATTATGTAATATTGGATTTATAGCATTTTGATATGTGCTGGAATTATCATTTTAGATGATTTGCACATTTTAATATCTAAATTCTTAATGGAATATGTGTTTTATCTTCTATGTTTGATTATCAAATATATTGATTTTGAGTGATATGCTTAGATCTTGGTTTAGATTGTTTATCAATATTTTAATTTAATTTACAAGTTCCAAATTTCAAATAGGTGAAAACAAAATTATATTATTGTATTAGTGGTATGGTATATTATTTTGTCACAATATTTAACTTATAGTGACAACATATTTGTCATAAGATGATAGATATATTGTGACAAAATATATATTTTGTCACAATATTTAACCTTATAGTGACAATATATTTGTCGCAACATAATATATATATTGTGACAAATAATTTTGTCACAACATGTGATGTATATTGTGACACAATAAAGTAGCTTATAGTGATAATATTTTTGTCACAACATAGAATGTATATTGTGACAGAACTTCTTGTCACAATAAAATGGCTTATAGTGACAATATTTTTGTCACAACATGTAATGTATATTGTGACAAAAGGTTTTGTCACAATAAAGTAGCTTATAGTGACAACATTTTTGTGACAATATGTAATGTATATTGTGACAAAAGATTCTGTCACAATAAAGTAGCTTATAGTGACAATATTTTTGTCACAACATAGGATGTATATTGTGACAAAACCTGTTGTCACAATAAAGTGGCTTATAGTGACAATATTTTTGTCACAACATGTGATGTATATTGTGACAAAAGGTTTTGTCACAATAAAGTAGCTTATAGTGACAATATTTTTGTCGCAACATAGGAATTATATAGTGACAAAAGGTTTTGTCACAATAAAATAGCTTATAGCGACAATTTTTGTCACAAAAGATTATACATATAGTGACAAAAATTGTTTTTATCACAAAATAGTAATAAATAGCGATATATTTCATAGGTGTGGAGGTCTTTAGGCGACAATATTTGAACATTTTACGACAAATATTTTGTCGCAATTTTTATTCATTTTATGACAAAAATTTTTTTGTCACAATATATCTCACTTTTAGCGACAAATCAATATTTGTCACAAAAAACATATTGTGACCGGCTTCTAGCGACAAACTGTGGACAAATTTTTTTTTATCGCGATAAGTTTATCGCGACAAAATATGTACTTTTAGCGACAAATTCGTTTGTCGCCAAAGACCAAATTTCTTGTAGTGAATAGCACTAGAAATAGAGATAAACACATGAACATCTATTCTAGCATACATAGACATATGGATAGAATGAAATGATCAATTGGAAGCATTAAACCACACAAATCATTGAATAAACAAGATCTATATATATAAAAATGTCAAAATATGTATCACAAAACAAATCCCCTAAAAAATACATAAATTAAGA